GGAAGGAGCCGGTTAAACTGAAACAGGTGGTGTTTCTGCTTTTCTCCCCCTCTGCTAAAACCATCTTTTCCTTCATTTCATCCTGTGCAAACATAAGAAGTCACAGAAGAGACGCGGTTGGGGTGGAAGCTGCATAGAAGCACGACCCGGTGGCTTCCTCAGTCTGTTCAGTCTTAAAAAAGAGCTGTAATGGAAATAAATGTGTAGGGTTGCAGTTGAGAATGGTATGGAAGAGCTGTGTGAGCTGGAGCAGTAGGTCTGCACCGGGGCTGCGGTGGATTCCTGTGCCGAGACTGACCTTACGTCTCTCTTGGGCTTCACCACCACTGCCGAGAGCTGAACGCACAGGCTGGAGATGTGCAGCCATCATTCCCTGGCTGAAAAAACACCTCCTTTTGAGAGACATCCAACTGAAAAAAAAAAAAAAATTACACAAAAAGATATATATTTTCAGATATCTGCTTTTATAGCTTAAAACAAGCATGGTGTTTTCTGTTTGAAGAATGTGTAGTTTTAATTAAGCATCTCATGGTAAAGCCGCATAGATGAGTCCGTCTCTTGCAGCTGAATATCCACTTAACATCACTGCAGAGTTAAGACAGACTTCAAATTTACTGTAGCCATGTTAGAGGCTGGCACGTTGATGCAAACAAAAAAGTTTCAGTTAAAAAAGAAAATAACAACCTGTTAGGTTGGTTACTCTACAGTAACGATTACTTGTTGACCAAATGAAAATCCCAAAATCTCCACTTTGAATTTCTTGAGACGCCAGGCAGCACCCAGCACACTTCACCGGTGAAAACACAGGCGACAGCAGTCTCCAATGAAAGGATAAGTGATGTAAATAAGACTATTGTATTTTAAATAAATGCTTCTCATTATTCCAGCCACATTGCAAGAAAGGTGTCGGTGCTTTTTAAGGAAAGATAGTGAAATTCTCCAAGGCAAAAGGAGAGCGGTCAGATTTCTTACAGCTTCTGTTTAATTTCTTGCATTTTTAGATGAATATGCTTATTTTATTTTCCTGTATAATAGTAAAAATTACATCTGGTTGAGTCACAGGTTTAAGACCTAAGCTTTCCGTAGGTAAAGTGCAGAACACACGGACACTTGGCCATCGCCTTGTGTGCTGCTGGCTCTGCGCCGCTGGTGGCTCTGCAGCCTGGAGCAAGTCCCGTCCTCTGGAGATCACCAAGGGCAGGACATTAAAAAAAGAGGGTCCTCTTTTCCTTGTTGTTCGTTGCCAAAGATTAGGCACAAGTGGTTAATTTGACTCTTAGATATTTCTCTCTAATGGTACAAAACTTACTTTTTTCCCGTCCGTCTTGACATTGGAGGTGCTCAAAGATGAATGCATGGAGTAGGGTGTTCAGCAAACCCTCCAAGAAGCCTAACGTTGAGCAGAGGAATTTCACACGAGGGGGGATATTTCCCATGATGGAACTCATCTGCTCTCCTTTTCTTCTTCTGAATGTTTTGAGACCACTTTTGCCTTGCTTTTTAAAACATACGAATGGTTTAGTTGGACCAAAGCATGGCTTTGAAGCCTAAGAAAATCCTTTAAAAGGCAGCTGGTGGTTGAAGTTGAATTTTTAATAACGAGGTAGTTTGTAGAAGGAGTGCTGCTGTGCAACTTCGGCCAGAGAAAGGGGAGGAGGGCAGGGAGGGGAGGCCAGTGGAAGACACCCATGCATAAGTTATGTTCGTTCTTTTTCTTTATTAATGCTGTCAAATGCCCAGGAATGGTTGTTAGCATTTCTAGCCAAGCAAAATTAATATGAAGTATTTGGTGTTTTTTTAACTTTCTGCCAATTTGAAGCTCTCAGCATGTATGTTGGGAAATCAACTTTGTATCCGAGAGGAAAAGAAGTCAATCAATTCGTACAGAGTAAGGCAGTTTCGTCTTTGCAAAGCTTTTGCTTTCTTGACCAAGGTGGAGGTGGCCATGGAGGTGGCAGGAGTTGTGAAAGTGTCTGGTGTTGATGTGGTGGGAGAATGGTCTCACCTAAACCATCTAGAGACGTTCAGCAGTGACAAGGCGCTGTTCTTAAAAGCAGTGATTTAAAAAAAAAAAATAATTAAAAAATAAGACTTAAATCCAAACAGTCCTGCTAGGGAATCACAGAATCCCTGGCTGGTGAGGCTTGGAAGGGCGCTCTGGAGGTCATCTTATCGAACCCCCTGCCAGAGTAGGGGCACCTCCAGCAGTTGCACAGGACGGTGTCCAGGCGGGTTTGGAGTGTCTCCAGAGTGGGAGACTCCCCCACCTTTTCCAACAGGAAGACCTGGTGGAAGCGAGGCATGCACACGTGACGGCAGGGGGAACGTGTCTGCATTGGCATGGCTGAGCCTTGTGACGGTGTGCAGCAGGTTCCTGCAGCCCTCCCAGGGTGGGTTGGTTGGTTGCAGCTGCTGCAGTCCGTGTCTTCTTGAAGAGTCTGATGGACCTTTACTATGTTCCTTATGTTAGATATGGAGCTAAGGGCCTGACGGTTACCTTGAGCCTTCAGGCAAACCCTGAGCAACCCACGCGCCGGCCTCGGTAGCACCGCGCCACGCTGGCGTGCTGCTTCCCACCTGGTTTGGGGGAGAACGACGGTGGTTTGGTGCCTTTCTGGAGCAGGAGGGAATCACGGTGCCCATCTGGCCGCGTCAGGCTGGGGATCTGCTTGCAGAGCAGCGAGGAGACGAAGTCGTTCGGTTTTACGGTGATATTACAGTCCAAATCATTTCCAGACTCCCGAGAATGTGAAACAAGATGATGTGAAAAACATAAGTTGACTGTAGTTTTGAGTGCTTTCTATGCTCTTCTGGATAAATGGAGCAGAAAAGTCTACCAACTTCTCTTTGAGATTTCAGAGGCATTATTATATTCTGTAGTTATTATATTGTCGTAGCTCGAACAATGCACAGTAAAACTGAGCCATATTCTGCTGAGCGTTGTACATGTGCAGAATGACGGATTATCCGTGGTGGCAAGAGCGTGGTTTGAGGTCCGTGTCGTAGGTATTCATGCAAAAAAGGTTATGCGCAAATCCTCATACCTTTTTTTTTTAGCAAGATTATTAAATAGAAAAATATCGTGAAGTAGACATCAGTTTTATAAAGAAAATTGATGCTACTTTGCGCACACACACCAAAAAAGAAGAAAAATCAAAAGCATTGATTTAGTAAGTAAAGGGGAAGAGAGAAATAAAATCATACTTAATTTCCAGCCAACTGGATCCAAAGCCAATTCTTCGTTTTTGTTTTGCCTCTGCTCCAAGCCATCGACTCGTATTCTTGTGCAACCAGAGTATTTTAATTGTCCTCCTCTGCGTCCCTCTTCTTCTCTGCCACTTCCTAATCAGTAATTACGTGGCCTTCAGTGGTTAACAATTAATCAGAAAATGCAGGGGGCAGGGGCAGACGGCAGGGCTGTTTGACCATGCACCAGGCGAGAAAGGGCTCCGCTTCCCGGAGCGACCCCGCGCCAGCTCCCGCCTGCGCATCATTTATCCCGTCCAGAGGCAGAGCCGGACCGGTCTCTCGCTACACCAACCTCCCACCGCGGTGGGCTCTGCCGGCCACAGTGCATCGAGCCCGTGAAGGCGTTCCCCCTTTGTGCCAAAGTGCCTCGTGGCAAAAGCAGAACCCGGTGTCTTTTATGCCATTACTGGTACATCACACCTCTCGTTTTCTTCGGCTTTCTGCTAGGAGGCAACCAACCACATATTTTTGCTGGCTTGCCGCAGGCTCGAGGATTCCGGGGGATTTGCGCTGGTTTGCTCTTTCCCCGTACCCGGGTGGCAGAATTGCTCTGGTTTTCTCTTTCTTCCCTTGTCTCAGCTTCTCCTGTATTTTGGTATGTCTACAGTCTTCTCTCCTGTCTCCTGCTTTCTGGCGCATCCAACCTCTCACCAGAAGACTATGCTGTTGAGTTTTAGCAGCCCACCATCGAGAAACTTCTTGTTCTGGGGTCTGGCTGTATTTCCAGCTGGGAGGAAAAACAAAACAAAACACAAAAAAAAGCTGCAGTAGTTAGAGGACCTGAGGATGCCTCATCAGCGGTGCTTGAGACTCTGGATGTGAGAAGATTGCTGGCAGGGCTTGCTGGTTTGGCAGTCACCCTTGATGATGTCTCCATACCAGTCTTCCCATCGTTCCCATTCCTAATGGGCTCTGTGTGTTCATCGGTACCCTGAAACCGGTCTCTGCAGTTCTGAGGGACACCCGCCACGTGGCGGTGTGGCAGAGCACCAGGAGAGCACCACCACCCCTTCTCCAGCACAGCTTTGCCTCCCTGGAAGCCTCCGGGTTGGGGAACGCGGCTGGGTATTCGCAGCGAGCACATTTTCATTGCCCTCACACGCACGTTGCTCTTCCGGAGGGAAAGAAGTGAAAAGCAGTGAGGGGAGAAGTACGTTTTCGTTTGCAGGTGCTCTCTGTTCTCTCGCTGTGCTCGTCGGTGTCCTGCCAGCCCGACCTGACATTGAAAATCAAATGAAGCCACAATTGCCTCCTTCCAGTTCAGTAAGTGGAGGAAAGCAGAAAGCTGCCACCATCGCTGGAAGGAAATGGGGCAGAGGAAGGCGCGGGGTCGGCAGAAAAGCCGTTTCCTTTCCTCCTTCCCCCAGGGGAGGTCCCCGGGGAGACGGGACTGTGCCCCTGGGGACATGGAGGAGGAGCCACCCGCGCTGGTGGCACAGGGTGCGTCGTCTGCCGTGGACTTGGGTGGTTTTCTTTGCGCCATTTCCCACTAACGCTCGGCATTTTCCTCTCAACACTGTCTATGATTGTCTTTACAGGTGTACGCGACCTGGTGGTGTCGTTGCACTTCTAGAGGCGACGAGGATGCGGTTTTTCGTTAATCAATCTTTCCACCTTTTTCACAGGAGCAATAGGATGGAGTCTGACTCCAGATTGAATGCTTTTGAGATGGTGTATTTTTCTGCTAATGTAGGGAGTCTGAATATTCGTTTTGGGATTTCTTACCGTGATTTTACAATTTTCTCTTGCAGCAGAGAGTCCTCGGCCGCCTGCGCGGTGTGCGAAGGCGCGGAGGAGCTGACGGAGCCGCTCAGGCAGTGCACGGCCTGGCTGCACGCCTACTTCTGCGAGCCGGCGAGGACGGCGAGCCTTCCCATGCCGGCCTTCCACCACGCGCTGCGCC